ATACTTACATAGTATTTGAGGTTGAATAAAGACCCAGGTCCATCGAGTTCAGCCTGTGTGTGTCTGTGTGTGTAGTGTGTGTATGTGTGTTTGTGTTCCTGTGTGAACTTAGGTTTAGGAGTACCTGTACCCCTGTATGTTACGGTCTCTTAGGACGGTATCTAATTGATTTTTGAATGATTCAATACTCTCTGCTGATACCACTGCTCGTGACAGAGAGTTCCAAAATTTAACCGCTCTTTTTTTGTAACTTTCATTAGCATGTGATCAGTTCTTTCACGCAAGCTTTGCAAAGGGGGCTCTTTAGGCCAACTGACGACTAAGGTCATGCAGACCAGCAAAGTGGTACTCTTGCAACACAACTCAAATTGCAACCAAACACACTCAGTACATCACACAATGCTTTTTTTTTACATTTGGCACACTATAAACATATACCGGTACTCCATATTCACTACATAGCACCATTCATTACCATACAATCAACTGCCAGGTATGCAGAATTGGATATAGCTGTGCCACACTACAGAGTGTTCATGTTCTTCATAATATTAAGAAACTGACCTAAAATCATGATTTTGTAGTGCTTTAGAAAAAATGTGACCTGTCCCTTTAAGAAAAAGTATCGGTAATTGGTATCAGCGAGTACTTGAAAAAAAGTATCGGTACTCGTACTCGGCCTTAAAAAAGTGGTATCAGTGCATCCCTAAACGCTACCCATCATATAACTTGTCACACTCAGTACAACGCACACCATTTCTCTCAGAATATTGAAGTGTGCAAATGCTGATTCAAATTAGTCTTGGGAAATTAAATTTCATTAGTGATACAGCCATCAAAGAGAGAGGGGGGTTGCACAGCACAGATTTAAAAAGCAGATCACCCCCCTACATGTGAGGAATGCTCTGGATCCTGCCTGCAATGAGTTTATCAAGATGAAGATACAATGATCAACCTTCCTGATTTTCAAAAATGTGCAGTGTGTGTTTGATAACATTAGCTTTTCCATGATTGGTTTAATTTGTTGTCTGTAACTGCACATTGAATCCCTCATACACAAATGGATATAAAGGAATTCAGTCCCATGCAAAAGTAGACATCCCTGTATTCTATCATTGCATGGATCACCTAATGTATAAAAGCTGGTAGTGATTATAAGTGTTGTTGTTGCACAGAGAGTTGTTTTAATGTTTTGCTATGTAGTAAATGCTTACTAGCAGGGCCGGATTAACATAGGGGCAGGTGGAGCTTCCGCTTCAGGCCCGACCCTGCAAATTGGCCCAGGTGAGCCGAGCCTACACGGAGTTGCAGCCGGGCCGAGCTGACCCTAATTGCGGCTGGTCCGAGCTGTCCAGGTTTGCGGCCGGGTCAAGCTGACCATGCAGCCGCGGCCCTCTATTCAGGCATATCAGAGGGCCTTCTAATGTGCCTGAGCAGAAAGTCGCATCTGCTGCATTTGCAGTCGCCAATCTCTCTGACCCCGCCCCCCAGAGCCCGCACTTTTCCCCGGAGAGAGGCATTATTTGTTCCCTGTACAGGGGTTTGTTAGTACAGTGATTTAATACCGTGTATAGTATACTTATAAACATGTTTTAGCTAGGGAGCACTTTTATAGATTTTCAGAGTGAAGATGTTCCCCTGAGTATTAATGGAATCAAGCAAGGTTGAAGCAGCTTGAGATGACCACGTAAAACAGCTACTGGGTTTAATGTTTGAAAGCGTCTGTGAGTAGAAATGTCTGTGGTGCAGACAGTCAGCTTTTTCATTTAAATTCCAACTAACAGTAGGAATGAAAGTGAGAACATACTTTTCTGCTGTGTCAGTGCTGACACTTTTCCAAATACTTTATATTAGCCGACCTCACTTTGCTAATTGCAAAGATTTTTGAACCTTTTATTTGAAATGCTGATCTATGGTAGGGAGTTGATCCTTTTAGCTGAGTATGAACATACCATGCTGGACAACAATTTAATGACATCAAAGCTAATCAGGCCTAAAAGTCAAATATGGGTAATATTTTATTAAACATCTCCATCACTATTATAATTAAGATCGAATATGGAATTCCCAATCCTTCAGTTTCCATGGGCCAAATGTTTCCTGTCTTTTTGTTCAGCCTCAATATGTCAGAACGTAGTAGGACTTTACCAGGACAATAATGCATCACATATAATGTAATAAGAGCTAGCCTTGATCTCTTCATCTACATGAGTTTTGTGGTCAAATCAGGATGATATAGTGGTGAGCGTAAGCATAGATATATTGTGGGGGCTGTAGCGTCCTGCAGCAACTAAATGTCATTATTTATTTAATTTAAATAGCATGATGCAAACTGCTTATAATCTGACATGTTAAACTTTTTAGCCCTATGTCACAAATAAATAAATGGTCTATGTTTATTGGAAGACCAGAATGCTGTTTTGTTTAAAAAAAAAAAAAAAATCCTTCCACCTGCTTCAGGCACTAAAATATCCCTAAGCTATAGAACTTTTAAGGTCTTGCATGTCACGGTGACCCTTGATTCTAACAGATCAAATGACGCTACTCACTCAGAAACTGCTCCCTGTCTTTCTCTTCATCGGAAATATCTTTGTCAATGTGAAAAAGATGGTTTTCTGTTTCCTTTTTCCCTATTGTAGTTTTCTGTGTTTACAGCCTTAGATGATCTTAGAGGCTGAAGCAAGTGAGAGCAGCTTCCTGAAGATGACAAAAGCTCACAAGGAGCACAGACAGAAGGGGAGGGTGTTATGTGCAATACCTGTATGATCGACCATTGACAAAAGATAGTGGCATATCACATCCTGTCCTTTGAAAGCTACCCCTCTTTGAATTCTGGACACTTTTCTGCTTTGTGCCTCCAGGAGAACTTTTGGAGGCTCTTGCACAGACACAATAAACCTTGGGGTTCCAGCTGTGGAAGGCTATAGACTGCACCATGAAATCTCTAGCAGATATTTTTGGGGCTGACAGGACATTTTTTGAAATCACAAGCTACATATTAAGAGAATGTTCACACAGATGCTGGATGCAAAGATTGGACGCCTGTGTTATTTCAGGAAGCATCCAATCTGCACTGCTATCACTTCCCTAGTTAAGTCATTGATGTGTCCATTGCTGGCCAAATGTTAATCTTCAGAGTAGCACATTACAGCACAAAGACCACTGAACACAGATGTGTACGGAGTCTTTTCGCTTGTCCTTTTTTATACCTGGTGTCACTCTTGTTGTCTATGTGAAGATTACTTTTGTGCCTTTAATGTATCTTTTAGATTGTAAGCTCTTGAATTGTAGTGTAATTGTAATGTCTTCCTTATATTGTAAAGCGCTATGTAAACTGTTGGCGCTATATAAATCCTGTATAATAATCGTTTCTAAATGGGCATGGATTAAAAACTGTACTGAAAGCTTGATTGGTGGTCATGGGTAGTTCTCTAGTTTTTAGTATTAAGATACATAAGACATAAGTATTAAGATACATAAGATACATTTCTGTTAATAGTTAAGGCACTTGAATGCATTTTTAAGGTTTAACTCCTGAGTTTAGTGTCACTTTAACATATTATCCCCTTCCTATCTGCATTCAGACCCTTTTTCTGTAAAAAGGTAAAAGGCGATCTTTAGCCTTTTCTAGTAGTTAATTATATTAGTTCAGCGAAGCAAGAATGTCTCCTTAAGCCCCCATTTAGCATATATAATGTTTGTGTTTCCCGCACAGTTTTTCCTGTGGAAGACCGCACAGCACTAAAACGCTAAAATCTTTACAACTGCACGGATTTTGCTCATTCGGACGTGTGGAATCCGCCCCTGAAATCGCGCTTGGAGTATTTTGCATGCGGTCCCTGCAATAGTCTGAACAATACACATTAAAATGCATTATTTTTTTATGTTCAGAGCAGTTTTGCGCATATTCGTACGGCCGACTATATCACAGAAAACCGATCATGTGTGAATGGAACCTCAAAGCAGAAGTGAGAAAGGGGATGTATGGCTCATAGTAACCATATATTTAGTTCCTTATCTTAATTTTCAAACCTGTGTTTCAAAATGGCCCCTGAAATTAAATCTCCGTATATATTTAACATATCCACATTTATTTAATGTGTATTAATTACAGAAGTACCTAAGACAGACCTGTGGAAGTGTTTGACTTGATAAATTGGAGCAGAGTCTAAATTACTTTATAAAAGTCCTCAAAATTCTAGCTGCTTGGCTGCCATTCTGTTGCGTTCACTTCAAGACTTTGAGCCATTAATCAAAAACAAATGTAATGGTATGTAATCCTGACATTTTCTGACTGACATTTTACATGCGTGTTCCTGGTCTGTGTCTCACAAGTGGGCAAACCAGAGAGAGTCAGCCAACTAAGCTTATTGGAAGATAGTCAATAATGGCAGTCCACATTTTTCTGTCATGACAGTTATATATAATAAATCAAGAGAAATACAGGCTTGCCTTTGTTGAACTCCTTCTGAAAATACTAGTTGCCTGGTTGTTATGCTTTCCGAGTGAGTGGCTCGAAATAAGCATGCAGATTAGGAAGGTCAGATAAGAAGGTCAGAATTCCTTATCTGCAGATTTGTTACATATCACTGACCCAAACTAAAAATTGCAGATGGTTGTTAAGTATGATATTCAGACTACTGGCATTATCAGAAGGAGAGGATCGCAACAGCAGGCTCTGCTTCTCATGACCGACGTTCTTTAACATTAAAAGTGCAAATTCTTTATGTACTTGCAATGATATATAAGGTAACACCCATGATATAATTTGATGAGAATTATTTGCCAAACCTTTAGAGAAACAGCAAGAAAATGACATTGGTGGTAGATATCTGTAACAAATATGAATTGCTTCATTATCTAGGAATCACAAGAGAAGTAGCTTTCACTTTCAACATATTTTATTTAAAATAAAGATGAAGACATTCTATGACATCAATCATGATGAAGACATTATATGACATCAATCATATGTACCATGTAAAAGGGGAAAAGGGATATGCATCTACATGTATGCAGTGAAAGTAAAAATGGGAGAGACATTTAGAAACTCTTATTATTTATAAATATATACAACTGAAAGTTGTGTTTGTATTTACAACACAGTAATTTACTGCAAACACTGTAAATAAAGTGCAGTTTCATAAAAAGAAACCATTCATGTGACCCTGGACCAGAGATGATAGCCAGAGTATGCAATGTAAACTGTGTTATTGAACAGAATTACATCCAAAGAGCAAAACGGCTGTGAAGCAGAGTCCTTGCTTAAGTTAGTACCAAGTCCAGTGAGTCGTTCAGTGCCTCTGACATGTATGAAGTCTGGAGGTTTTAGGCACAGTTGTGAATTCTCCCTTCTGTAACTTGCAGGACAACCCTGCTCCACAGTGACAACGCTGGAAGATCTCCAGGCCATGTGACCCCTTTCTTCTGTGCTTAGTGCACACTTGACCTTCTTCAAGGACAGGCTTGCAGATCTTTGACCAAAAATGACGAGCACAGCACAGTCCTGGGCCACAGTCGCTGGACCTGAGGCATACATCACCATCACGACCTGGACGGGAAGAGAAAAGAGACATTCAATATAAGTATGCCTGCTGGGTTATTTCCACTGTCAACCCAAGACCTAAGCTGCAGTATTATCTCCTGCGAAATGGGAAATGCGTGCTACAAAGAGTACCTGTTTTACTTTAAGGTGAGCACAGCTATCTTAGCTAGCCAATTAGAAGTGGATTATCAGATGGTACTGCAAACATAGTTGGCATCATTCATTAGTATTCTAATATTCGTGAAACACTAACTTACCTTTAAAGGGTTGAATTCCAGATGGGGATGTGGTGAATTTGGTGTTTGTATCAACAGTAGCGTGTTCATTATGGTAGGTTTCCATGATGGTCTCCTCTTGGTAACCAAGCTGTGAGAAGCGGTCCTGCTCCTGCTCCACTGGCACACAGATACCTGTAAGGCAAGCAGGGCATGTCTTAGCACAAGGGTGTGAAGTGTGAGCCATTAGTAGAAAAACAATGCAGTCAGTATAGAGATAATTACTATAGACACCTGTAAAACCCATCCCATCACAAAGCAATCACCTAGTTACACTTCATACAAAGTAAGACAATGTACTTTATGTGTCTACATAATGGGGTACTAAAGAGCACAGGCACAATAGGGGGGCCATATGGCCAGCAACACAGCTTCAAACAGGGCGGTAGGAAGAAAATTAGCAATTGTCATGGAAAGTGACCCTTTGGTGGGCATGTTGAAATGCAGAAAGCCCAGTTGCAGTTTTCTTTGAGCTTTACAAATAGTTTGTTCTAATCCTCAAAGGAAAAGCACCATTCCCCGATGTTAGGAAGAATGGCCCACTTAGATTTACAGCTAGAGACAATGCATTATTCATTGGGCTCGGAAAATCCCTTTACATATCAAACGGGCTTATTTGAACCTAAATTAGGGAGCTGTTCTTCTTTTGAACGCTGAAATGAGCAGTTGTGTTTAGTACACAAGCCTGTTTATGTTGTTACATTATTATGTATGACACTCTGCTGTAAGTGGTTCCACAAGGGGCATTTAAATCAACACTTCTTGCTCTAAGTTATCAATGTGAAGTCTAATGACTTGCTGGCACTTGTTCCATTAACAGTAATAGTTAGTGACATGTGATTATTATTGGAATGAATGGAGGGTTCCAATCTGACATTGTAGCCCATAGCCCTGACTCTGTAAGTCAGGATCTGGATGACAGTGGTGGTGATGTGGACCTGGGTGGCTTGTGCTCTACTTACCATTGCTACAGTAGTTTCCCATGCAACACATGGCATCACGCAGACAGCGCTTCCTACGTTTCCTGCATGCCAGACACACCATGGAGTTCCCACTTTTGGAGCTGTGACAGAACTCATCCAGAGCACAGTCATCATCCTCTGTGCATGTGTAAAGCTGAGAGATAAAAGCAGCACATCAGTATAAAAGTCATGGACATGAGAGCTAATCATAGGTGGGCATCACAACTAGAATCAGACTACATCTCATGATCAAACAAGAGATATCAAATGTTATGGTAGTAAAGACACTGCTGGTTACAATGTATCTTTCTATAAACTGTCTCACGATCCATTTAACTAGGCTGTTGCATGTCACGATGACTGCAATATAGATTCAGACACCAAAAAAAGGACATAATTGCAAGAAGAATGTTGTCTACTCACCGGGTAAGCATCAAAGGACTGGTACTTGTTAGCCATGTCATAGAAAGAGTCCGGACTGACACTGACTGGGTAGTAGCCCATGGGCTGCCCTGCAGGTGCCGCAGGGACGTTCTTGATGGAGTTGGAGTTTGAGTTAGCCTTCATGACATAGGTAGAGGCTCCGTGTATGAGAGTGGAACACAGCGTTGCCAGGGACAACAGTATCCTCATCACCGCACGATGCATAGCCAGCCAGAAAAGTGCCGCTGTCAGTGGAGCTTGTGATGTGTACGCACAGCGGTTGTCACACGGGGAGAGCAGTAAATCCTACGAGTCAGCTTGAGTGCTTCGGTCCCGACTTTCTGAAGATGCTCCAGAGTCCTGGGTGCTCTACTTATACTGCTCGCCTTGTTTGCACACACGCCCCTAACACAGGACAACAAAGGCAAGGGATGGGATTTCAAAGCTGTGGGATTTATGACGCTCCAGCCATGTCTAAATCACAGGGCAGACTGGCAGCCAGGGATTTCACAATCATTGTAATTAGCAATTAATTTTTTGAAGATCACACAGGTCAGCCTGCAGGGGATGAATTGCAAAATAACAGAAGAGGAAATGGGTTCCTCAAATTCCTCAATTACATCTTGATATATCGTGTGTATGTATTGTGTGTGTGTGTGTGTGTGTGTGTGTGTCTCCCAATTTTTTTTTACTGATTCCTGGAAATGTTTTCAATTTTTCTCTAATTTTCGCTATTTTTAAAAAACTATTTGTAGCTTTTATTTCATCATTGCTACTTTATAACTGCAACATTGTAATACCTTCATACATGCGTGTAAACATGGACACAATCAGTACCTTTTTGTTTTCTAGACTTCTGTGATAACAAGATGCTACTTTATAACTGCAACATTGTAATATCTTTATGCATGTAAACATGTAAGCCTGGACACATACATGACCTATGTTTCTATATTTCTATGTTAACAAGATGCTACTTTATAACTGCAACATTGTAGTATCTTTATACATGTAAACCTGGACACATACCTGGACACATACATGTGTTTCTATATTTCTATGATAACTAGATGCTACTTTATAACTGCAACATTGTAATAACTTTATATGTGTAAACCTGGACACATACATGACCTGTGTTTCTAGATTTCTATGATAACAAGATGCTACTTAATAACTGCAACATTGTAATAACTTTATGTAAACACAGACACTACCTGTGTTTTTGTTTCTATTATAAGAATTAGCACATTTCTTGATTATTTAATCAAGAAATGTGCATATTGTTATCATATAAACAAAAACCAGGTAGTGTATGTGTTTATTTTCAGGCACAACTCATCATAAAACAATAAAGGGATTTGTAAGGGATTTTTCTTCCTTGAGAGATTGTAAAATAACTAAAATCAGCAAGTTACAGTCAGGTGCCTACATTTAAAATGATATAGGTGTCAGTGGAAAGCAGATTAATTTTGCCTTTGCCATAATTTTTTAAGTAGGTCACATGTTTATATTTATTCATCCTGCAATATTTTATGTTCAAAGAAGTGTGTTTAGAAGAGATCTGAAATATTTTTAAAGCCAGTGGTTCTTTAATATTAATCCCCAGTTTGGCTAAGTGTGCAGAACACAAGCACATAAAAAGTAATGAAGAGGATCTATGTGCTCTGCAGCAGCAGAATTAATTTACCTGGATCAGTAAATGATGTCTTAACTGGTGCTTTATCTCCAACTAGCGGTGACTTTTCAGTACTGCCTTTTAGTAAGAGATCCCAGAACTGTTTGTCCACATATTCTCCAATATCTGCAATATTGAACATGTGAAGGTGACTACTCACTTATATGCCTTATGAATTCTACTTGTACAACTTGTAAACAGATGTTCACAGTAGTAGTATTTTCTTGTGCGCGCTTGGGCTAAAATGCAAGATAAAGCATTGCCCACTGTGACTGCCCAGATGCTAAGGAACTGCAAGTCAAAGCATGCCCTGTTATTGAGAGTTTCAAAAGTCAACACACATTTAGAAAAAAAAAGGGGCTTTTGTTTGTGGAGCGTCCTTTGTTTTAATTGGAGGATCATTACACAGTGATGAAATGTTTTAGATTTGAGGTCTACAACAATGCACAGTGTCTGGTACTACAAAAAAGTCATTTGAAGCTTGGGTGCCACGTTAAGTCATTTCACATCAAGGTGGCTCTAGGATACCGCCAGTAATTGTTACTGTGGAATGAAGAGGAGATGCTAAAGACACACGGCTCCATTTAATGTCAACAACATACAAACACACAATTGCTCCTATTTATCAGATGTTGAGATGTTTTTTGAGGTTATTACTTTTTGAACAAGACAGGGTTTATTTCGACACTTCAAAAAGCTGTCGCAATGAAATTTTTTGCATTCTCTGTCTATAACCTCAAATTTGAGTCATTATCCAGGCACCGAATTGCATGATCTCTCAGGCCAGGAGAAATGTGCAGTCAACGTTATTAGTCCTTTTTTTCAGACAAGGCAGCAGAGTGTTACAAAGCACAGGACGCCACATACTTCAAAAGATTAAATTACAGTAGCTAATGTATTCTTTCATTCTTCAGCATACGTAATAGCCAGGTAGAAAAGGAACTCTCTGCTCACAATAATGGCCATTTGATTGAAAGCCCTTTTGCTGCAAATCTTTGTGATCAAAGATTTCGAAGTCTCACTATTTAATGGGATTATATTGATTATATCATTAGAATAAAAGCAGTCAGTTTCTGAGCAAAAGATATTGAGGTGGTTCAGTAAGATATTTGCCACACATTTCTGGTGTATGTAATCAGAAGCCATGCATTCATGAAAACCCTGCAACATCCACATTGGTATTTCCGACACGTGTGACAAATTCAAGTAGTTCTTATTTGCAACACTTTACTGTACGGGACAAACTCATAAAGAAATCACATGGGTGATAAGGAAACTGAGGCAAATAAGACTTCTTAAACTGTTGCTTGTTGCATGTGTGATTATTGCATTGAGACAATTCTGAGAAATAAAATTGTCTTTAAGTTCTCTGGATCTGATCTATGATATATTTCCATCACTTTCCCAACTTCTCCAAATAGTTTCTCTGCCTGTAAAACTCCACCACTTTGTAGGAAAGATGCTTGCAGCAGTTCTGTCAGAGTTGCGGCAGATTGCGGCTCTTTATGAATTTCAGGGATTGCCACTCTATTATCACATAATATGTAATATAGTCAGGGGCCCTTCTAAGTGTTTTAATAAATATCAAACACAGAGCAATAGTTTTCATATTCTGAGGCGCAGTGTTTTAATATTGCTGAGCTTCGCAGATCATGCCCTCTACAGGAAAATCATAAGATGACATGAAAGCATGAAGATAGATTGTAAAAAGTGCCTGCTCAACATGCAGCGTTGTGACCAGTGTAGATAATAAGAGAGATGCCCGAAATAGAACCTCAGAGATGAAGATAGGTCACCAGCACTCCAAAACACAAAGTAAATATTGTAAAAATTGCCAACATTTCGGGGCCATGTAGGGTCCCTTCCTCAAGGGGACACAGTGATGTAGGTGGAGGGGACCCGACAGCATACCTCATCCCGCCAGGTGAATGTCCCCTCCTCTCTCTGCCAGCGACCATCACCAAGATGGCCGTCGGCAGGCATCAATCATATGGCCGCACATGTCACCCGATATGGAGACCGAATGACACCCGGCCTCGGGACGCCCCTGTGGTATGCATGTCAAACATATAAAAGATATTTCAATAATGTGCTTGTTGGCAAAAAGAACCTTGTATATCTTGTATATGGTTGATATTATTATTACCTATAAGATTGTGGAAAGCTTATTTTATTCATAACTTAAAATATATCTCTAGGCAAAAATATTTCTTTTAGTTATGGAACGGGATGGGAAGGGTTAGGCACTCTGTCAAGTTTTTTTTGCTGCCTGTGTGTCCAGTGGAGATATTAGACCATCTATCTGTATTGATGAGATCAAAAGTGAGGGAAATGCAACATTTTAGATTTGCCCCCAGAACAAGAGCTAAAGGGAAGTCAGCAAGGGAAGGCACAACTGTCTAAAGCTGGCCATACACCTATAGATTTTCTGCAGATTTTTTATAGTCAGATGGAAAAAGTGCAACAGATTCCTCCATCTACGCTAAACTGTGTGTAAGGAGGAATCTCCCACTGGGCCAGGCTTCAGTATCTTGCTAGTCGGCCCCTCTGGCTCTCAAAATACGTGAACAGTTTCTGCATCCAATCAGATTGTTCAGGTTTTTTCAAAGCCAGTGGGATGAGCAAGATACTGAAGTTTGGCCCAGCGGGAGATTCCTCCATCCACACAGTTTAGCGTAGATGGAGATATCTGTTACACTTTTTCCATCTGACTATAACAAATCTGCAGAAAATCTATAGGTGTATGGCCAGCTTTAGTGAGAAATTCCTCTCAGTTTGTGAGATTTCCTCTAACTTCCTGTTGCACGTCTGGGACAGGAAGTGAAGAAAAGTTTCCCCAATAGTACACAGGCAGGAAAAGAATAACTGAGAGGGCTTGTAACCCTTCTGAATTCTACACAAAAAAATCTACATAAAAAAGCTTTGGGTATACAAACACTTTAATCCTACTCCAGAAAACCTAACTTAAAAAGCTGGGAAATGTAGCTATAGCTTTTAATGTTTTACACTTTTTCGCTATATTATCCATAAATTTGTACTTCTGATAGTATATATTTGGTGAAATCTCATCTGTATGTAGAGGAAGATCAACTCAGGCCTGTGCTAAATGCAATGGATTTGTTGTGAAGTGAAGATTTACCCCTTTAAGCATTTTTGTCACATGATACAACCTGACAGTGTTTAATAGCAGAATGAAGCTGCTGAATTGGTTTTGCTTAGGAAATTTGTGTTCTAGTTGGCAAATAATCAGCAGTGTAAAACATCAGGTTTGGTGTCTTTTGTTTAAACCCCCAACTCTATAGAAAGGAATTGTGTGGGGCTCTCGATGCTGATCTGCGTCTGGACACTGAAGTTCATCCAGTAATGGTACTTCCCAGACCCCCACCCTAGGCGACCTGAGTCCACACGTCCTAATTAATGAGTTTAGCAATTGTTTACAATATTTCTATTGTGATGGAGTGTGTTTAGAAAGGACTCAGATGTATATAATATGAAAAAATATATTTATTTGATTTTAAATTCTTGTTGCTTTAA